CACCCCACATCTACAGAGCTACCCCCACAATACCCAGAGCCCGTGCACCCCCCATCTACAGAGCTCCCCCCAGAACACCCATTGACCGTGCAGCCCCCAGGCACCTCAATCCACAAAGCTGTCCCCCACATCAGCCCACAATACCCATCCACCTCCCCACACGCCCATACAGACCCCATGCCACATGGGAAGTGGGATGGGTGCCTGGGATGCCAAGTGCCAGCCTTACCGGGAGTCGTTGAAAGTGTGCCACTCGCCAGACACGGGGCTCTTGCAGTAGGCTGTGTAGTGCCCCCCCATGGTGGTCCCGGAGTGATTGGAGACAGCGTACAGGTTGTAAACGGCATGGTCTGCGGGGGTGGGGCACAGCAAACCCAGCAATTAGCGAGGGCAGGGTCCAGCGCACCCATCCGGACCCCTGCTGCTGGAATCCCTGCCGGGCAGGTACTGGGCCCTTGGGATCCCGCTAGCAAGGTAGAAAGAGCAAGACCCCAAGGACTGAGCAGGAGACTGGGAGGGAGCCAGGACTCCTGGGTTCTATTCTCAGCTTGGGGAAGGCGTGCGGTCTTGAGTGAGCAGGTGATTGGGGGGCCAGGACTCCGCAGTTCCATTCTTAGCTCTGCCACTGGCTTAGTGTGTGGCTTTGTGTGTGTCACTGCCTTGCCCTGTGCCTCAGTTTCCCCACCTGAAATACAAGGCTAATGATACGGACCTGTCCCTCGGGGGCTGGGGAATTCATCCATCACTGCCTGGTTCCCTCAAGGGTGTGGGGTAGAGGGGTGCAGCAAGGCACAGAGCATGCTGTGCAGCCTGGGGGGACAGAACGTACCCACGCCCTGTCTGTGGGATGAGTGCACGGGCAACCAAGGACATGCAGCTAGTGGGGGCAGCTCCCTTGGGGTGGCTGATCAGCCACCAAACTCCCTGTGCCAGAGCCCGATTCGAGGTGGCTGCAGCACGGGGAAGGGTGCAGGCTGAAGAGGGGCAGCCTGGACGGAGGAGAGGTGGCTATGGGGAAGTCTGCTTTGCTGGCAGGCTGCAACCCGTTTTCTTGACCTTGGTAAGTGAAGAATAAATCCATGCAGGGGGGAAGGGTCACGGCCGGGTGTGTGTCTGATCAAGGGACAGGCAAGGCAGTGTGGCACACTGGTTAGCGACAGGGGTGCTCTGTGACACGCCTCTGATGGCCAGCGGGATGCTGTGAGGGACGCTGCCCCAGCCCTGTCCCGTCAGTTACGGGCATGTTGTCTCCCTGTGCCAGCGCACCCAGCCCCTGCCTTGCCCCAGGGCACTCACTGCAGCTCTGTGCGGCAAACTCCCGCAGGTCCAGGTCCTTCAGCTGGAAGCTGATGAAGGTGGTGAGCTTGCTGGTTCGTATCCTGGCCTCGGAGAAGCGCTTCAGATCTGGGGGGCGGAGTCAAGGAAAGGGGGCTGGGCCAGGACAGATGGATGGGAGGAGATGAGCATAGAGCCCTTTGCCCTTTTGGGGATGGGTCCCGAGCTCCCTCTGGTATGTCCCACTCAGCAGAAGCTGGATCTGCTAGTGCCTGGGGGTGGGGGGTTACTCCCACCCATAGCCCTTTGCCCCAAGACCCCCCCGCCCCATGCTGCCCAGGTGCTGGAATCTCTGCTGCAGGGAGCTCCGGGGAGCCTGATGGATACGAAGCACCAGGATCTTTGGGAACCTCTGGATGCTGAACTTCTTTGTGCACCTTGTCCTGGTTTTGCAGCGGCAGCACGTCTGGGGGAGACAAACCAGGGTTAGAGGGGGATCCTGATAGCGTCACCGGGGGGCTGAACCCAGGAGCCCTGGGCCGGGCCCGAGGGTGCCACCCGCAGGGGAACTTCAGCAAATAGGCCCACCCTCTAGCAGAAATGGGGCCCAGCTCAAGCAGGTCCAAGCCTGTCCCTGAGCCAAGATGGGTGTCCACCTTAAGGGCAGGCGGCCTCGTTCCCATGGGGCTGGGATGCGGGACCAACTGCTACAGCAAAACTGTGATGTGGGCAAATGGCCCAGAGCCATAGCGTGACGATCTCTGTACCACATCTCCTGGTCCCTAAACAGCAGTCTGCCTGTCCGTCCATCCAGCCCTCCCTCCATCCCTGCCCACCCATCCCTCCCTCACCGGCTTCTCGTCTCCATCCAGCACGTCCTCCTTGGTGAAGAGCCGCATGCAGTCCAACAGGGTCACCTCGCTGTAGCTCTTCTGCGGAGAGCAAAGAGCAGGGGTCAGAGCATGCCCGGGGCGCTGGGGTGGGGGGAAGCTGAGCAGCAGGCGGGGGCGCGGGCGTTACCTTGGCGATGGGCAGGGACAGATCCCAGAAGGGGTCGAAGGCCGTGGAGCAGTAGCCGCACTCGCTGCAGGTCAGGGAGCTCTTCAGCTGCCCGACGAAGAGATCTGGGGAGGGGTGGAGACGAGAGGGAGTGAGAGACGCCCGAGGCGCTGCATGGCCCAGCCCTCGCCCGGCAGGGCTCTGCCCATCACAGCAACGGTGTCTTCTACCGATCTATCCATTTGTGTGCTGGATGTATGGGGTCTCTTGGACCCAGCTCTCTGAGCTGGCTGCCTGCCCTCCAATTCCCCCACCCGCCTCCACTTCAGTCCCTGGGCCTTGCTACCCTTCCATCCACTCCTGCCCCCATGTCCTCCCCTCCCCGTACCCAGGCACTCACCCCCGATCCGGCTATCCTCCCTCTCCTGGTATTTCCGCCACATCTGCCTCCCTTTTTCATCATCGCTGCAGGGGACAGAGAAGAGACAGAGCGCGTGAGAGATGCCCGCCAGGGCCAGCGTCCCGCCAAGCCCTGAGCTGCTTTGCAGTCTGCAGGCAGAAGCGTGCCGATTAGGAGGGAGCTGCAGGGAGCATGCTCTGCCCCCTTTACGGTCGCTGGTACAGGACTGATGCTTCTCTGGTTCTGAACTCCACTACCGCGCCAGTGGGCCATGCCGAGGGCCTTCGAGCTTTGCATTTAGTCCACTTGAATTCCAACACCATTGGAGCACTTGATGGCTCGCGAGTTGAGTGAGTTAAGAGATCAGAGCCATACCCCCATGTGTCAAGCCTGGGGACTCCATACATTTGGGATCTGTGGAGTGCTAATTCCAGGGCTAGCAACGCTAAACCCCACAGACATCACAGCAGGCAGTGTGCAGAACGCCGGGCTGTTACAGGGCTGCCGGCTGCTGACTCACCCAAGCTTAGAATGCATGGGAAGAAGGGATCCCCTCACATTAGCAGGGCTTTCTTTTTTTGTGGGGGGGGGACGACAGTTACCCCCCCAAGTTTGGGATCCGCTGGTGATTTTCCTTCCCTGGGGCTCATTTATTAGGCCCCACTCTCCCCTCCGTACCCGCAACCCCCGTCTCCCCCAGGCCCCATCACAGTTGGGTTCTCGTGTCCTGGGCGTTTGCTGCCAATTTGGTCCAGCCTCCGCCAATCTGAACTTGCTCAGAATTCCCCCAAAGAGAGAGCTGGCCAAGGCAGGCGCCCCGGGGTGGAACACCCCTGGGAATCCTTCCAGGGTTCCAGGCTGGGCTTGAGCCAGCCGGCAGGGAGCGTCGCCCCCGGCGATGATGGATGGGTGCTGCTCTGCAGGGGCAGCTCCATAGGGCACCGTGCGAGAGGCACCACTTACGGCAGGTGGTCCAGGTTGTCCAGGTTAGATCTGGGCCTCACTAGCACCCGGTTCACCTCGCTGTGGAGCCCATCGAGGAGGAAGCGCAGGAATTCCTGAGCGTCCTGCTGGCTGGAGTGGACAAGGGAAGGGTGAGAAACCGCTCCCTGGGCAACACAAGTCGTCCCTACCCCCGCCCCGTCTCGCCTAGAGCCTTACTTGTAGCCGACAAAGCGGGGCGCGTATCTCTGGATCTGGGTCTTGAATTCCGAGGGGCTCACCGCTTCGTTGGGGGACGAGGTCCAGAGCAGCTGGATCAGCTTGGCGAACTCTGCCGAGAGAGAGCGGGAACGAGGGTTACCCGGGGCTCGCCGCTTGCTCCGGCCCAATCCCCCAGGTCCCTGGGGGCGTGTTCAGAACCGTAGCCCCGTCTACTGGCGGCTCTCCTCCGATCGGGGACTGTGCAGCTTCTTACTCCGTCAATCTGCTCCCAGCGCATATTCACGGCCAGAACTGCTGAGCAGAGGAGCAGCGGGAAGCCTGGTCTGCTCTGCCTGTGAGCCTACACCTCCACCTCGGGTATCGGCGGCAGAGCTGGCAAACCCTGGAGGAGGCGGCGTCAGCCAGTCAGATTTAAAAAGGGGTCTTATGAATGAGTTAGGGTAGCCCATCAGCTAGAAACATTTTGTTGCCACATGTTAGGCACGCATCTGGTGGTCATCAGCAGGGTGTTTGTAGCTGCTGGGAGTGGTGCAGTTATTCTATAGCACGTCATGTTGAAATGTTAACGGGCGTCCAACCTGAAAAAATCATAAAAGCACCAAAAAGGCCACAACTCGGAGAAACAGTCTATTTTTTACCATAATTGGCAGAAAGCTTCTACATGCAATTGCCTATGAACTATGTACTCAGAATAGTGCTGTTGTGGAAAGTTTGGGGAATATTTAGCCCCTGGTGATATATTTTATGCATTTTCCTGTACTTGTCTTCCTTGGGTTAAAGCAAAAGTCTGTAGTCGCATGACAGTATGAGTTTGTTTGTACCATGTAATACAGCAACATATCTGTCATTATTTGTAGAATGGACTGAATGGAGAAGTTTTTCTGTCTGCTATTTTACATTTTATGAATATTGGCTATTGTGCAATGATTCCTGCACCGGCAACTGATGTTAATACAGCGTACACCATAATGAAATATTTTCAGTATAAGTTCCACTCTCTGGGCCAAGACTGGACTTATGTCGTGTATGAAGAAGCAATCTACTGCAAAGCACAGTTGATTAAATGGAGGAATCGAACCGAATTTGACAATGACCCCTTTGAGATGGGAGGCGTGCATCGTACAGTGAATTTCCTGGGTGACATAGGCAGTGTGATACAGGAAAGTGGGTTTGAAGACATCCTTGTGGAAGCCAAGTATTACTTGACTGCACATTTTAAGTTATTTGCAGTGGTGTGTTTTTCCCAGGATATCTGAGAGACAGGGCAGATGAAGTAATATCTTTTATTATTGGACCATGGTAAAAGAAACAAGCTTTCGAACACAAGAAAATTCTGTTCAATCAGAGGTATTACTTCACCCACCTTGTCTCTGCACCTTTTAAGGCAGCTGTAACATCTATGACAAGGCAGATGTGTGGAATGCAGCCTCAGCAAAGGATCTCTACAGAGAAGCAACCACAGAGGGCATGGCTACAGATGAAACTGCTGTCCAAGATATTATAAAACTTGTGACCGAAAGTATGAAGAAACCTTTATGCACTGAACCTGGAACAAGCCCAGACCATAGGCAGCCACTTGTGAACATTCCAATGTCTACTGTGGCTCCACCTGAAATTGGAAAGTTTGTATGATCACAGAGAATGGCACACAAGAAATGAAGCAGTTTGTAACCAGGAGGCTGCAAAGGGGTGAGGGAGACGTCTTTGATCCCATAAAAAGTCACAATCTCAAATCATTTGGTAATCTCAACAAAACAACTGATCAAAAGAAGAAGCAGACAGCACAAGCAATAACTACTGATCGTCAGATATTCAGCAAGCTGACAGTTATTGCCCAGTCCAGAGATGTTACTATCCAGAGTTTGATGACTGGTACCTGTCCCATTTCCCTTCTTCAATTTGGATGGTTCTCTAAGACCCAAAAGAGCAACAGCAAGAGCTGGAGAAAAATCTGTCAGTGGGTGAGCTACCTTAGCTATGGTTGATCTCATGATGCTTCTGCAGATGGTATGCACTGATACTGCCAAGTGCAAAACTTTGGGGGAGCTGTCTGATCAGCTGCTGAACATTATCCGTGCACTAAAATGTCAATACACTGCTGTTGTTGCTGACAGTTGTGCAAATGAAAAATCAGTCAAATCTGGTGAGAGAGCCCACTGGGGAACTGACCAAAGGCAAGAAGTTTGGAACCCCACTGTGTTAACACCATTCCCAAAGCAACACTTGGAGATGATATCGAATTCAAAGAATAAATCTAACATTGCAGACTTTCTCCACAGTGACTGGATCATGAAGTGTGAATAGAGATAGTTGCTTGGTCGTGAAGTATACCTTGCTGGTGGCTTTCACAACATCGCACGAGCATTGACAGGCAACCATCCTGCAATGACAGACCTCGGGGCAGATCACGAGGAAGCAGATTCAAGCATGTTCTTGCATGTTGCTCAAGCAAAGCAAACACTCGGAGTAAACAGAGTGCTAACGTGGAGCTTGAACTCAGATGGTGCATCTGTGTGTCCAAGAGATAGAATTCATCTACCCCAAGAATAGAGCAATTTCAAAACTGGTGTTGGCCCAAAGAAGAGATTCATTCCCATGGGCAGAGAGGCTTTGGAGCTGGGAATGGACACGTGTCTTATGTTGCCAAACATTCATGCTGCCAGTGGATGTGACTCTACTTCAGCTTTCAGTGGCATGGGAAAAAGAGCTGGCTGATGACAGCAGCTGAGCTGGAGAGAGAAGAGAAATCAAAGAGGTCTTTTGTCCCCTTTAAGGTTCCACAGTATTTCATCTGCCGTTGCTGGGCCTTCTCTGTTGGGCAGGACATAACACCTTCTGCACACCAGCATTTCACACTACCCGATGTCTTTCTCCTCTTTGGTGATTTACAGTTACCGAGGATTGCAATGCAAACACTTAAATATTACCTTGTACCATGGGGTACAGATATTATAAACGAGATTAATGCATGCAGCAATTTACAAACATTTTATAAAATCTAACAGATTCTTAGACTTCTAATGCCTGTTTTAACAATATTAACACACAGGTGAATCAGATGGGTTCCAGCCAGGTATTTGTCAGTGTTCGGGTGAGTCCTAGGGACCTTGGCATAAGCTGGCACCTGGTCTCACGGTGTCTATTCTGCATTGCCTACCCAGATCTCAGGGCTTGCGGTATTCACAAAGCATGCCCATTCTCACCTCCGTTGGTCTTAGTGATGTCTGTTGTATGAATGCCAGAGCATGCCCACTGTCAACAATCCCTCTTCTCAGGACTACATGCCCATGGCATGCCTGTTCTCAGCTCCCTTACAGTCACAGTGCTGTCTGCCTGTAATATGGACCAAGTATACCCTGTCTCAGCTCCCCTCTGTCTCAGCACTGTGGACCAGACCCACAAAGGGGTATAGATGTGGCAATCTCACCATTGCCCTGGCTTCTATATGCCTAGAAAATCATTCGAACAACAATGGGATTCCCAGTGCCTGAGATAGGTGCTTGGGCTCTGTCTTGGAGGAAGGGGCAGAGACAGCTACCAAAGAATGGGATACATAAAAACAGGAATGACAGGCACAGAACTGCCTAAGCTAGCCACTGGGAGATGCTGAGAAGAGAGGTGGTGATAAGCCCTGACCCTTTTAGGCAGTTTTGGACCTAGATACACTTGCAATCTGCAGCCAGGAACCCCTCCTGGAGTAAGGTGACTTAGGTGCATGAACCATTTTGTGTGAGATTGATATGTACTTGCCTAAGACCCCACAAAACAAACATAATCAGAGGGAGAAGGAGGCACAGGCCTTCTGTGTAACGTTTAGTGCAATGGTGAGAATCCTCATTGGGCTATGGGGGACCCTGCTGCAAATCCCCCCTGTGCCTGTGTTAAGAAGAGATTTGGAGAGGCAGCAAATGCAGCCCTGGTGGGTGTTCCCTGGGCTTTGGGTACTGGGCTGGGGGGGTGGCTACCCTCTTGCCGGAGGAAGCTGTTCCACTTTAATTAAATGGTATTTGGGCCTCATATAGCTACAGTTCCCACTGTAGGCTGATGGTTAGACTGTGTGCTTGGGGTGAGGGGAGATGTGAGTTCAAATCTCCCCTGGTGGGGGGGGGGGGGGTGTGTGTGAGCTCATCTTTCTGGGGCAGCATTGGGGGTGCCTTCCTTCTTGCCTTTCAAAGCTGTTCCACTTTAATTAAATGGTATTTGGGCCTCAAACTGACAAGGTACCCACTGTAGGCTGATAGTCAGGCTCTGTGCCTGGGGTGCGGGAGATGTGGGTTTGAATCTCGCCTGGTGTAGGTCCCCTGACCTTTCTGTAATGGCGAGGGGGTGGCCTTCTTCCTTCTTGCCTGTTGAAGCTGTTCCACTTTAGTTAAATGTGCTCTGGGCCAGCCTCACAGCAACCCTCACTCTCTTGTCCAGTGGTTAGGATACTCGCCTGGGTTG